TGGTCCCCAGTCCACTGGTTGGCAACCACTGATCTACAGTATTGCAAGCTGTATTGTGGACAGAGCTGAAGCAAGTAGTAGATGGAACCAGAGTCCAAAATGCACAAACACAGGGCAGTTTATGATAGTGGTGGAGAGCCAAAAATGGGCTGAGTGGAGGTGCAAATAGATGTGGCTTGAGTCACACCTACTCACCACTTGTTTGCCCCATCCCACAAATGCTCCAGATGAGAAAACTGTTCTCTTGTTGGCATTTTTCTTTCTCTTCCTGATGCCCTCTTCTCTTCAACTGTTGGGGGCAGAAGGGGCAGAAACTACTTACCTCTGCTCTAAAATGATTTTGTGTACATGTCCTGAAATGTAATAGTAGGTGTTATGGAATTATTTGGATTGCAATTTCCTTCTTAGCTCTGTCTTAATTATTCTTTGCTTGATTTAAAAGTAGTATCTTTTTAACAATATATTTAATAAATTCCAAAAACAAACATTAAAATACAAGCTAACATAAAAGGAAAAAGAGGACAAGTTAAAAAGTAACAAAAGATATCAATTCAATATATAACAAAAATGGCCTCCAACTTTTAAAGCACAGATAATATAACAAACCTAAGTTTCAATGAATACCAATATTTAAAATAACTGAACATAATAATCAACATTCTAAAAAATCAATATTCATAATATATTCTCTAAATTTTAATCTAACTTGTAATAAATTGTCAAATATGAGTAACCATGTATTCAAAACCCATAATATTTCTTTAGATAGTTTATATCTAGTTTCAGGTCCTAAGTCAAAAAGTAAAATTTCTTCTTCTCTTGTAAGAAATCTAAATGAAGTAATTTTTTTTTTCCAGGTGCAGTTCTTGTTGATTACACTTCATATAGGACAAATCTACCTCACGGGTAGTTGTCAGTACCAGTATCCTATTTTCATGTTCATCATTTGGCTCTATGGATTCTTGTTTTTAATCCTGTTTCTACATTTTTGGTATAATGCTTATACTAAGGGTCAGCGGCTCCCAAAACATTTGCAAAATGGCGTTAGAAACAAAAATGAATGAAGGACTCAGTGACAAAACAAGATCTTCAACATGTAGCACTTGACAATCAAGAGGCTTCAGCACACAGCACACTGGGTATTTTGTATATGGATTTCCAAGGACAAGAAAATATATTTTATTATAAATTATTTGGAATTTGAATTTGATGTGAAGAGAAATAAAAACTACCTAGTACAACCTGCAACTTTCAGCAAAAAAGTACATATTGTGAAAATATATGTATTAAACAACAATTTAGCAGCACTCCTAAATGCTTATGTATCTTCATTATACAAATGAAGTGTGTTTGATAAGTATACAACAATACTTTGAGCACTGATGAGGATATATTCGTTTTAACTGGGTCACAACTTCTTTAGGCTGCTTTTAACTGAAATGGAAAAGTTTAATGGATGACATAATTGTATGACATGGATGACATATTGTTAATATATCTATCAACTTTGTTTTATACATACTGTACTACTGTATATTAAAAACTATGATTCATAAGTCTTCAACTCTGATTTTTTTAAATTAAAGTTTTATTTGGGTTTTCACACACACAAAAAACATAATACAAGTAAAACATCTTTTTTGAAAATAGCATGGTCTTGGGTTACACTTCTTTATACAGACACAAACTCAATTTCATGCTCATTTTTGTGTTCTATTCCATATCTTATTACTATTTTGCATTAACTATGTAGTTTTTCCCCTTCTTTTTAATTTTCTCAATTTTATTTTGATTATCTCATCTCAATTCAAATCATTATATTTATACTTTTTTTTGTCCTGTTTCAATTTCATATCTTTTCTCATTAAACAAATGTTCTCCCGTAGTTACTAATTGGAGTATGACACCTTTATATCTTTTAATTTTATCCATTCAACTCTTATTTAAACTTCAATATATACCTTAAGGTTATAACATTCAATATAATACATAATACATAACTTCCAATTGACTTCTGCTTGGTACTGCTTGGTATTCTTATAATATACACTATATTCTTTAAAAAAGGATTATAAATATATGTAATTAAAACGCTCATTCCATTCCAATTCAGTTCTATCATTAATATTCATTAAAGTCTTAACATCTTTAACATTTCTTTTCAATTAAATATCATACTTCCTTGAAGACATGTATAATCTCCATAATTAATTTTCCTTTATTTCTCTTCACGTTTTATAAATCGTTTTCATTTTATTATATTTATTGACAAACATTCCACTAAATTATGATAACTATTTTATCAAACATTTTAACCATACATTGTTTCATATTTTCTGAAATTATTTCTATTTCTAATATAACAATACTATCTTATGTACCTTTGCAGAATCCCTTTTTCAATTAGATTTTCACCCATTATCTCTAAATAGGCTGTTTCTCTATATCTTGTTTCTGTCCATTATAACTTTTCCTTTCTTTCTTCCCTCTCTTCTTCTCCCTCCCCTTTTTACCCCCTTGTCTCTCTAGTTCTAATTCTCTCTTCTGCATTTCCCTCTTCTGTTGCTTTCTGGCTTTATACTTTATTTTTCAATCTATTCTTTTTTGGGGTTGTTTTTCCCAGTCTTAAACTTTCCGTTCTTTTCCCCCCTTTCCTTTTTTCCCCCCCATCTAAGATTACTTGTTCCTTAAAGATGGCTTCTTCTTTGTCCCAATCTTCTTGTTCTGCTTGACTTCCGGTTTGAGCGTCTTCGGCGACAGACCAAAACTGTGACTCTGTGCAGTTTTGATCCATGCTCGCTGCTGAAGCGCCCCGAGCCGGCTGGTTTCGGAGCTAAGCCACCCCGTAGAGGTGGTGAAGAAGGGGGAGACTGCCTGCAGGGTTGAGGAGAGCCGCATCTCTCCTCCTCAGCTGGCCATTACTCCCTTTCCCGAGGGCGGTTGTAGCGGTGGTCAGAAATGGCCACCCCAAAGAAGAACTCAACCAGAAAAGAATGTGCAAGAGGAAGATAAGAAGAGAAAGTTTTGGTTGACCGGGTCAAACAGCAAAAGCAACAAATAAGGTACCCTGGAATTGAAACTATAAAAAAAAAAGTTAACACTGTTTCCAAACAAGATTTTTAAGCAGCGAAGGAGAGAGAAAAGGGAAAGGATTTGGGTTATTTTTTTTTCTTTCCTTTTTCTATACTGACAGCTAAGAGATTTAAGCAAGAAATTGGAAAAAAAATCCACTTTGACATTAATAGGCATTTAATGCTGAAAATAAAAAGTCAAAGGGATAATAAAGATTTCTGGATATTTAAAAGCTTTTGAAAACAGGAGAGGGGAGAGAAAAAAGAATAAAAGGGCAGGATCTGGAAGGGAGGAGACTGCCTGGAATTAAAAAGAACTTACAGTAAAATCTCAACAAGACTACTAAAAGATACATTTTAACTGAAACATGGCAACAAAATAGTAAAACCCCAGGAAGAGAAATTGAAATTAGAAATAAGAAGAAACAGCTCGAGAGTATTTGGATTACTTGATGATCTCTGGATTCTTGGTTACTGCATTTGAATGACTAAAATAAATCGGGTGGTTGTTTAAAAGTGTCTAAAATGACTCCACTCTTAGAAGAACTGAAAATGGAACTTAAAAAGTTCAAAGATGCACAAAAAGGGAGAGGGTCTTTTGGCTTCATATTTCAGTTTTTAGAAATGGAGATTTGGAACTATGAGAAACAACAAGAAATGCCTGCAGAACTCTGAATTTTTTAAACATGTCTTAGGGTTTCAATAATGGGATGGTTTGGAGGAAACACTCACACCCCAGGAATTTGTAGAACAATGCATTTATGCTTGCTAAAATACTGTCATGTTTTAAAGGCCAGCTTCTTCTGGAATCAGTTCAAAGCTTATTAAGATGGGAGGGTTTGTTAGACTGTCAGGACCATAGCAAAAGTCCAATAATCGTCCCTGGAAAAAGCGATTGGCAGCTTGATGGATCTTAAGTCAAAGAGAATTTTTTTAGTGGATCCAAAATTCAGTTTTACATTTACACCAGCCCTTTGCCTAATTTCCAGTCTTTCCACTGCTTGACGCCCTGGACCACAAGGAGAGCTGTCTCGACTACAAATCCCAGAATAGGCAAACAGGATTTGAGATACTACCCGAAACTTCTGCCTGTTGTAATCACTCGATTTAGAAGGTTCAGAGATCTTGGGGAAAGCTGATGGGGACATACTCATGACGCAGAAAAACAAAGAAGCTCCCACGCGTTAACCCATGAAGCCATGGTTGAGCAAAATCACCATTAGTTCAGTTCCCACCAAGGTTAAAAGAGGCTTAACGCGTGTCACATGGCTTCCTCCAGTTTTGGCTACCAGCCTTTCTGAGAACTGCGTGAGGCAATTTAAGAGAGACCAATCCTTGCATCATCCCTATAATGGAGAAGGGATGGAATTCCGCAGTATCGATTTTTAGCAAGCCACCGAAGCAGGCGCGAGCAACGTCACCCGCTTGCATCGTACAAAGTGAGACCAGCCGAACAAAAAGCATCGCCAGAAATGACCAGCCCCGTTCCTTTTATCTCGCTAACGCCGCCCAGCGATTGATGACGGAGGAAAGGAGCAGAATAACTCATTGGGCGTTTATCGGTAAAAACGCACCTCTGACGTTTGTTGCAGAGAACCCAATCGCCTGCTTTATGGGAGTCGGGGAGTAAAGAGCGAATGCAGGATAATCCCCCTCCTCTTATTTTTTATGGAGTGTTTCTTAAAGCAGGAGTCTCCAATCTTGGCAACTTTAAGACTTGTGGACTTCAACTCCCAGAATTCCTCGGTCACAGCTTTGGGAGTTGAATTCTGGGAGTTGAAGTCCACAAGTCTTAAAGTTGCCAAGATAGGAGGCCCTCTCTTAAAGGATTTCCTCCAATCGTCTAATTTTGAGAGATCACGTGGCCGAGCTTTGGCCCAATCAGAACGCGGTAGCCTCCGATTCAAACTTTCCTTCGAAAGTTCTATATGCTGTGTCCCTCGGTCTCCGTGGAGACGGACCGCGGAGTTTTATATTTTCTGGCCGACCGATGGAGCCTCGACTCGTGGGCCCCGGGCCCTACCGAGCAACTCGGCTGGTGAGTAAAATACGTTCTCCGAAGGCTTTCTAAGCACTGGCTGCCTTTTTTTTTGTCCCTGAAAATTAGCAGGGAATGCACTCTTGTTTATGTACACAGCATAGCTCCATTAATAGATCACTGGTTTACTATGCAGCAGAGCGTGGTGTTAAGACTTTGACTGGGCTGTGTCATTTTATATGGTAGATGTGAGAATACATTTCCAACTGTATCGCATTAATTTTAAAAAGACTATTAGAAAGACCACAATTAAGACTTTCTTCCAGAAATCTTGGGAATTTTTTTTTAAATTAACAAAACTGCCTCCAACAAATGATGATTCCAGGTACAGGTAGTCCTTGATTTATGACCACAACTGAGGCCAAAATTTTTGTTGCTAAGTGAAATATTTGTTAAGTGAATTTTGCCCCATTTTATGACCTTTTGTGCCACAGTTGTTAAGTGAATCACTGCAGTCATGAAGTTATTCACATGGTTGTTAAATGAATCTGACTTCCTCATTGACTTTGCATGTAGGAAGGTCACAAAAAGGGAACTCATGTTTCCAGGATGCAGCAACAGTCATAAATACCAGTCAGTTGCCAAGCATCCAAATTTTGATTACATGACTGTGAGGATACTTAAACAATCACAAATGTGAAAAACAGTCGTAAGTCATTTTTTTCAGTGCCGTTGTAACTTTGAATGAGCTGTTGTAAGACGAGTACTATCTGTACTGAAACAATGGCCTTGTGCAGTATTAAGCCTAACCAGGGCACTGAATTTTTAAGTGCTTGCTAGAGTGGTAGTGGTTTTTGGATGTGTTATGCATTTCTAGCCACCCGGGTTTTGTTTAATAACCCATGATTAAAATTTGTAATTTAATATGAACCCAATTAATGAATTTGTACAGATCCTTGAACAGTTTGAAGGAAAAAAAATCCTAGATTTCTTTAATGAGACTTTTATCTCCAACATTACTCCTGATTTGAATCTTTACCTCCTGCCCCAATTATAAATAAATGCACACAGATACATACACACTTGATAGGGGCACCTGGGCTACGAAGACTGGCAGAAATGATGCTTCAAGAAAATAATAATGCAACTTCATGCAACTTCAATAATGCAACTATGGCATAATTGCCATAAATCGTTATTTATATGATGACCTCCACATAAAGTATAAGGAATATCATTCATCTGTTATGGCTACCTATTGAAACAACTGACTTTGGGGAGCAAACAAAATTAAAATTAAACAACTACAAACTTTACAAAATATTACAAAATACCAATGTGGTTATTTGGACTTTCCAGATGTTTTGATTTTCCACTCATATCAGTCCTAACAGCTTTGAGTAGTGGCTAGGCATTATGAAACCTTCAATAAAAAGCAACATATTGCCTCCTCTGAGCTATAGGGAGTGTTATTTTTCCTCTGTGAAAAGAAATTGGCTTTTGCCTGTGATATATGAACAAAGACAGGTAGTGAAGGCAATCAGTTTTTCTCCATATTTTTATCTCTTGTGAGCAATGAAACAGTACACCAACTTTTTAAGATAAATAATTCATTCATTGTAAAATGAATGGTCAATATTAAGCATGATTGGGAATTTCAATACACAAATCACCACGTCACAGTTTTGTGCGCCTATTTATATACACTGATCAAAGCAGATTTATGCTCAAATTAAAACCTATGTGTTCAAGCATGATTTTAGAACATGGTTGTTAAAGACAATGTGCTTATATTAGAGAAAAATCTTGAAAAACAACCTAAGAAACAACCAGACATTTCTTGCTGATAAGAAATAATATATAAAAACTGGAAAGAGCTTGGCTGATACGGAAAAAGCCTAAAAGCTTAAATTAGAAGATACATGTTAGATTTCTTCATACACTCTTTTGTTCCTTCTCAGGTGCTGCCCCAACAAGTACTAACTTGTGCTTAGATAAAGCTTTCATATTTTCTTTTCAGTGGAATGAGACTGTTGAGCTATTTCGAAATGGAATGCCCTTACGGAAACATCGCTTTCACTTCAAAAGCTACGAAGGTTGCTTCACAGCTTCTGAGGCTGTGGAATGGTTACACAAACTGCTAAGACGCAACCAAAACTTTAGCCCAGAAGTAACTCGTGCTCAAACAGTTCAGCTTCTCAAAAAGTTCCTGAAGAATCATGTTATTGAAGATATCAAAGGAAGATGGGGCAAAGATGATTTTGAGGATAATGGTAAATTATATAGGTAAATAACTGAATGGGTTCTTGGGGCAGAAACTGTGTACTGTGTTTATTTTTAAATGACTGTATTTCAAGCAAGTGTTGAATCCTTAGCCTCCAAAACCAGAAAGAAATGGCATGATTTTTGCAGCATAAGCAATACAGGTAGTTGCCATTTAACAACTGTAATTGCGATCTGGAATTTTGTCAGCAGTGTGGTTTTAAAGCGAAAAATCACACGACTGCACCAGCTTATGAAGGTCGTTGTGGATGTTGAGCCGATTGTGCTTGGTTATTACAACTGATGTCATGTCACTGACTTGCAACTCCCTACCAGCTTCCCCTTTGACTTTGCTTGTTGAAAGCTAGTACTGAACGTTGCAAATAGTGATCACATGATCACTGGGGGGGGAGCAACTGTTGTGAGTTCACTAGTTGCCAAACACCTGGATCACGATCATGTGACCATGGGCATGCTGCAACTCATGAGCCAGCTGTAAGCCTTGTTCTATGTTATGATAACTTTGAACAGTTGCTGAATGAGCAGTCACTAAACAAGGACTATGCACTCTTTCCAAAACCAACCAACCAATTCTGTTTCCACTCTCCACCCTCTATGCAATCTACCTTAAATAGAACTTCCAGACAACATCTGTAGGGGAATCATATTAATTAATTAATTATTTCCTTGTGGAAATCTCAGGTGGTTATGTGTATTGAACTGAACAGAGCAAACAATAATGTCCTCCATCTTGAAAAAGCAAGTCATCTGCTCTTAGGGGATCAGGCCCAATGTGTAGCTTCCTGTATACGTTGGCTCAAGATTATCAACAGCAAGCTCATGGAGACATGAACTCCTGAGCTCTCCTGAAATTTTAGCATTAGAAGCCAAGACATTTCAACAGTAGTCTTCATCAAGGATTAGGTTCAGCAGATTCTCTGCTGGTCCCTACATCCTAATTTCCCCATATAATTGAAATACCCAGAAGGAAAAATCTTGGGCTAGGCCAACTCTCAGTTTTGATAATACAGACCAGATCTACTAATTCATCTAATGAGTCAGGGTGCAGTCTTTTTGCAGATGAATCTATCATTCATCAAAATCAATGTGAGGATAATCACCAACAAGTTGTTTTCCTAGACACCTCACCAAAACAAGGCGTTTGAGTTAAAGTAGGAACCCAGTACCAAATTATCTGAACTTTCCTGAAACAGTTAACTCCCCTTCCTGTCAAACCTTCCTTTTCCATCACAATTACAATTGGCTCCACAATCCCCTTATTTCCTATTCCCTCAGTGAGTTTCCACATCCATCCTATCACAACCAGCAACCTCCAACACAGATAACCCATAACTATTCAGTGCAACTTACCAACCCATCTACTCCTGTCCTACCATAGTTGCCTTGATCTGATACCATTTATTAAACACCCCCTTTGATTCCAGAGCACATTTCACCAACATAGCCAACCTTAGCTACTTCTCATATGGTGCCCCTCTGCCTCAGAATTCCTCTTTTATCTAGTATTGTTATTTTGCTGCAAGAGGTTTATTCCCATATAATCTTATTCTAGAAAAACACCAACTTTATAATAGTTCATACTGAAGTTCAAACCTTATGCTATGGGCAATGACTCTCTGCTCTTACATTGCTGCATAGGGAGTCTTCTCATCATTTTGATCAGCACAACAGAGTCATCAGTGGTTGCTGATCAGCATCCCCAAAGTTCCTTAGCAATCTTCTGCCCAGCGGACCAATATCTCCTAGAACCTAACCTGTAAATAAGTGCTACTGTAAGATAATTGCAGATCTTAATTTACATCTAAGTTTTCAAAGGCCTAAGTTTTCAACCACTAGATGTTCAGATTCATTTATTGTACTTCTTCATATGCTGCCTGATGAGTACTTAAAGAGAACATTGAATCAATTATTGGAATACTGTGTTTCTCCAACAATACGCCCCCACTCCCCCCACCCCGGAAGGCCCAGCATGTTTTCTAGGCATAAGGTGAAATTAAGCCCCGCCCCCAAAATTTAGTCCTATTTAAACCATGCGTTCCCTACCATTTCTCACATTGCTTGAACTATACGAGGTGAAGAGAAATGGGGAAAGGGGGGGACTTGCCTTTAGGAGCCCCCCGCAGGTAGCCTCGGCTAGAGCACCCCGTGGGCAGGCTCACCTCTATCGGCTGATTGAAGCGCCCGTGGGCAGAATTGCCTCTCCAGGAGGCCGCTTCTATTGGCCGATAGAACTACCCCGTGGGCAGTTCTGGGCCCCTCTGCTTAGGCTGCCGACTAAGGGAACTCGCAGTTTACTCAATTGCTCAACCAGTTTCTAAGGGAGGGCGGGGGGGAATCTTTGTCCCCCCACTAACATCTTTGTGCCATCCACTAGCGTCTTTGAATGGGAAGGTATGCTTCGAGGGGGAACATGGAGATTGTTGTCCGTAAAACTGCGAGCTAAACAGCCTGCCTTTCTCCTACCTTCTTCTTGAGGTTTTGCTTGCAGCCCGACCACTAACAGGTAGTTGAGTCTGGCTTCAGCTCTCCCTTGTGTGGTTGGTGGGGTATTTTGGCGTCTCTTTTTCAGACAGTACAAGGACGAGGGTAATCCACAGTTTTGGATAGTTTTGGCTTCTGCTCAGACATTGTAGTCTATGGCGTGGTTTGCACATATACGATACCTACCTTGCCCCGTTCCTGTAGTTTGCCCATAAAATAAGATGATACACATCTCTTAAATCCCCCATTCCCCCCCCTCTCTCTGTGTGTATGTATGTATGTATCCTATATATCCCTTCAGCATCACAAATGCCATGTAAAAGATGCTTTGCAGTGCCTCAGGTAACATAATCAGTATGCTACCCCTGAAAAATACACTTTTGAAGGCAATGCTATTAATACCATAGACATTGCATCTCTACAAAAAAAGTTCCAGAAGGACCCAGCCAAAGTAAAAATCTTCCTACTGACCCAGCCAAAGTAGGGAAAAAATTCCTATTGACAACCCTCAAACTTATGCAGAAGCTAATAGCTTTCATAAACTATTAATACGTCTTCATTCCAAATGTTGCAAAACTTACAGCTGCTTCAGTCATCGCTGTGCTGGAAATATACCCCATTCAGGTGTCAAACTTGATTTCATTGAGGGCCGCATCAGGACTGTGTTTGACCTGGGGGGGGGGGCAGTGTGTGGGTGTTGGCCAGGGGGGCATGGCCAGCTCAATATCACTTAACCCACCTAGGCTTCGTTTTCAGCCATGACGGCCTCCTACAGCCCTCTACCAGCAAAAATGGAGCCTGGGTTGGCTGCATGGAGCCCCCACCCAAAGCTCCATTTTCGCTGGCAGAGGCACTGCAGGCTGTTTGCAGGGTGGCCCCACAGGCCAAATCTAAGCACCCTGCGGGGCAAATCTGGCCTGCGAGCCTTGAGTTTGACACCCCTGAATTAGAATATATTCAGTAAGATTTTGAACAAATTAAAAAGGATTTCTCCGCTCAGTCTATCCTCCAACATACTGACTATACCCAAACATCTGTAGATGAAACTGACATTTTGACATCAGATTAGCATGAACTATTTTGCTACATGCTACAAGAAAGCTAAAAAAACAAATTAAATCCATCAGAACAGTTCTGTGTTCTCTGGAACAAGGAACTCTTGGCTATTAAGGCAGACTTTGAAACTTGGAGGCAGTTGCTGAAAAGAGTTCAACATCGGGAGCAAATTCAGACCAACCACTGTAACCGAGGGAGAGAGGATGAGGTTGAATTCTTCCCCCTTTTGTAACGGCTAGGCTTAACTCATCCTCCCCAAGACATAAATGTTTTACAGCACTATAAATTGTGTTTAACCCCCCCCCCCAAATCTGCTGAGAGTCAAACTGACCAACATAAACTCGATCCATAGTCATCCATGCCAATGTTCCAGCTATGCAATTGGCCATTCCAGCTGACTACTTTAGCCACACCCTAACTTTTTCAAGAGCACCTCATGTCTATAGATAACCAGGTCAGCACATTGGTGGAAGAATTTCTTCTCTATGATTTGTTCCTTGCTGAAGTCAGACATCAGATATAATAGTTTAGAGTTCAAAAGTTTATTCAGTACACAAGATGAGCCCTAAATGAGGCTGGCTCCATGCCAGGGTTGCAACACTCTTTTATAATCAGGTAAAAATGTGCATGTCTGCTTTTAAAGATCTCAGATTCTAATTTTTCTAATTTGGTTTAACTCAGTTTTCTACTTTCTAATTGATGTGACTGATCTCTGTTGCTATTGTAATGGTTCCTTCTCATTCATCCCTTATCTGTCCATGTAACACTCTTGCTTCACTAAATGGTGGGTTGCCTTTTCCTTCTGGAATGGCATTAGTTCAGCTTTCTAATAACTACTTTCTAACACCGTGCCCTCCATACTCTCAGGGTCAAAGGGGAAAGCCAATCCGGAGGGATATGGGTGAGTAGGAGAACAGGAGACAAAAAAGCAGGAAGTGACATTCAGACAAGAGCAACAACCACAGACAATAAAAGGACTCACAATCAATTGTTGTAACCACAAGCCATGGTAAACAGCCCATCTTGGCTTGATCTCTGCCTGGAGTTTGGGTTGGATATTTAATAATGGCATTGCTTAAAAGCAGAGCTTGAAATGTAGCCTGGACCTCAGCAGGAAATTTGTTCTGCATCAGGTTTTATGGAAGGAGCTAAGGGGCTGAGGAAACATCTAATGCTCAACAAATGCAAGAGCATTTGTCGGGAGCCAAGTATGCCACTTCAAAAACATTTAACTACTATGGGGACTGAGCCCCCAAGACTTGTTTACCTGACTAAGTTCACTTGAAAAGGCTAGGAGGGTGGAGTTAAGCCATTGTTATTGTTGGGGAACATGTAAAGCATTGTACAATGTTTCCATCTAAGCCAGTGTTTCTCAAATTTGACAACTTTAAAATATATGGACTTCAACTACCAGAATTCCCCAGCCAGCAATTTCAAAATGGCCAAGTTTGAGAAACACTGATCTAAACTGTAGTGTGTCCAGTCATTACAAAATAACCCTTTACGATAAGCTGGAATACTTTTTAATCTATGGAGATTCTCAGTCCAGATGACATTTAAACAGGTATGAAGCCAAATCAACACCAGATCACTGTTTCCCTGTCCAATGTTTGAGCATTATCATGATTTTATTAGCTTCAATTCTTCTGTGCGATGGTAAAAATGCAAATTTCTCAAAAAAATAATGGATCTTATCAGGGATAATATATTCCTGATCATAATGGAACATTGATGGAATAATTTCAAGCTCATGATTAGATTATCCAGAATCATACGTGAATAAATAATCCTGCTATTATTTCCTCTGACTGATACTTTGCCAGGATTTAGAAATTCATAAAAAATAATGATTCTATGGCTACTAACCATGATAGCATTCTAGTATCAAAGGCAATATTTGATTAATGTTATGCCTATTGTACTTTGTACTTTGGAGACCCAGCAGCATCTGTGTGAACATTAGGAAGGGGTGATTTATTAAATCCAACATTATTCTTATGTTCCTGTGATCGACACTCAATTTATTATTACCTATGACCAAAAAGCTCCCATGTGTAGCCAGAAAATACATCACCCAATGATTTGTAGCAGTGAATAAACTGAAATATTTATAGAGCTTTATAATACAATCAACAGCTTGCATGAAACAATGCAAAATAAAACATAATAGATAACATCAGGTTTCATCATTTGTTTTCCAGTAGCATAGGGTTTAAAACAGAATTTGTAAACTTTGAAAATAACATTTTCAGTAGAATTTGTGAGACTGAGATACAAAATGTATCTGTCATACCAGGAAACATTTAAAATTGTGCCTAAAATAGCAGCAAAATATAGAATTGTTACGGTAGTAAAAAGCACATGAATCCTGGTTTTAGCTGTTCCCAAATGATAACTTTCTTCCAATAAGAGTAAAGGAAAACTATTGAAACAAGTGATGGCAAAGACTCTGATATATTTTGCAGTATCAAGTTTATTTACTAGCGCTATACCTGTGCTTCGCTACGAAACTGATCGGCCTTAGTTTTGGGGGAAGGAAAATAAGGGGGGGCAAATTGTGCCTCTGCCTACCAGCATCCATCGGTGTTCATCTGGCTAGCATCCTATCAGTGTGTGAGAGAGTTGAGGGATGTTTGAAAACTGAAACAGTAGTTGCTGTGTGAGCAAGGAGACAGTAAGGAGCCTGGCCATGGCTTAACTCAACTGCTCTGTACCAAAGCTGGTTGCTGCTGTGAAACTGAAATTGAAACTCCTCTCCTCTGCTTGTGTTTTGCATTTGGAACAGATTTCATTTCAGGTGGGGAAGGGGAGTAGAACTCCTTAGCATCAGAGTATGTTAATAATAATATATGAAATACTAATGCTATGATGGTCATTTTGAAAAATCCTTTTTTAGTGAGCACCTAGAAGCCAAGAGGAACATACATGCCAAATTTCAAGTTTGTAGGCTTTATGGTTCTGAAGATTTTGCGATGATGCATGAGTGGTATTTCGCTTTTATATACATAGATAATTATTTTAAGCCAGGATAAAACTTTGTTGTGATTTCCCTCTCAAAGCAAAAATATTTTTAGCTCGATCATGTTACAAATTGATATCATTGTTTGTGTATCTTTAGTTTTGGAAAAATTGTGTAATTTTGTCTCCGAAGTTCTTTTAGCTTAAAGAAATGTTGTCTAGTGGCATCAATGGGGCTAGATTCTCAGGGCAGAATGATAGTGTTCCTATGAAGGTTTTAATAAACTGTTTTCAAATTTTAGGTTTCCTCCTTTTTCACCATTAAAACCATACCCTAAACGATCTCCTTACCGGAAAGAAATTGTGAAATTCCCAAATTGGGACTTTGAAAAAGTTACTTTCCAAGAGCACATCCCAGTGAAACCTATCACACTGGTAAGATAACTTCCCATACATTAATGTGTAATGCATTGAGATATACAAATACATGATATGTCAAGATTATCATCTTTTCTGCCTTCAAAGATATCAAGAAAAATTAAAATTAGTGGCAGTCTGCAGAGATTCTCAGTCATCCAGGTCATGGTTGTCCCAAGGGTGCTTTTTCAGGAGGCAAGTGGACTTCCTTGTTTTTTCTTGGATGAGAAGACATTTCGCTTCTCATCCAAGAAGCTTCTTTAGCTCTGACAGGATAGTGGGGAATGGGATTAAAATTAAGGTTAAAATTGGTGGATTTGGTGGAAAGTTTTTCATTAATTTGAATTGGACTTAGTTGTGACTCTTTCCATAGATTTGGTCAAATATATTACTAGTGAAGCAATGTTGCCACAAAAGGGCAAAATTATAGATTAACAATAATTAGGGTTTCTCTCCTCACACTGCTGCAGAATTCTGAAATGTGGTTTAAACGTCACAGCATAGCAATTGGAGAAGTACCAGCTTGCAAGTTCATCCATCATCGAAAATTAAAAGAGGCAAATGTAGAAGACATATGGAAGTCCAGGACTTTATCATAGTAAGCATGTTGCCTGAGTTGTTCTTTTACAAAAATAAATGTGTTGGAATGTACTCCAGGAGGGAGGGGGTGCATTTCAGAGGAATACGAGACTAAATTTTAGATAGTTTGGTTGGGAGGAACAGGGTCAAAACAGGTCCTCCCTAGAAGTTCTCGAGTATAACTATAGTGAGGCAAAATAGTTTGCATTAGTTTGGCAATATTTCTGTCTTTAGGTGAAGAACAGTAAGGGAAAGTGTTCAGAAGAAACCCTGCATGTCTTTCTTGGTTTTGGGGCTTGGCGTCAATCTGTCTCTTATTCCTTTGGAATATATTCTGTCCCTCCTGAGAATCTGGACTGCATTTCACCACACATTAAGCTACTGCAATTGATATTAGTAGTTGCTCCCGAAATTAAAAATAAAAGACTTAAAAACCCTGGTAGCCATTCAAAAAATCCAAAGGCATCAATGAGCAAATTTGTAAATTATTTTCTGTCTCGACAGAATGTCTTTATTGTCTCCAACAGATGATCTATAATGCCAGTCCTGATTATGCAACTCTTATTTATTTAGTTGCTAAACGCTCAAATTGCTGTCATATGGTGCACCGGTCATAAGTCATTTTTCCAAGGCCAGCATAACTTCAATCTCTTATTAAACAAATGGTCATAAGTTGAGGACTATATGTATGAAACACTGAAGAGATGGTGGTGTAATTCCCTAATCTGTCTTTTCGTTTTTATTATAGTTTAAAGTATTTTATATTATAGCACTCTCATATGTATGTGATTTGGTTTGCATCTGAAAGAAGCAAATAATTTTTGTTTTAAAGCAGCCTACTGTTTTACTAAAGAGGCTTTGAAGATGGCTTTATTACACACAAAACACACCCAATTCATTCATATATATTCATAATCCAATGACAATATGCGCTATTTACCTGTAAATCTTTTTTCCAGATAACTGCTGGTAGCTAATTTAAATCTGTTTGCTGTATGTCTTCTGTAGCTTGCAAAAAACTTTAGGTTTGGATTCTCTGAATGATATTTTGGACACTAAACTTGTAAATCCAAAGGACATCATTCAGAATGTATACAGCGTCAACAAACAAGGAACTGTCATTTTAGAAGATAAGTCAAGTAAGTAGAACTTTTTAAATATGTTATAGTTTTGTTGGAATCTATTCAGGAAACAAACATATCCTGATCACTAACCTGCTCGTTCAGTGGCAATAAAGTTCTGGGACAGATCTGTCTAAAGAAATAAAAGAAGTAGTGATAATTTGATTCCCCATGAAATCTAGGAAACTTTGATAATTCCAATTACTCTTTGCTGTCTTTCCTTGTATATGTCCTCCACAACTCAAAAGTAATTCCAGGACTCAGCACAGCACACCTATGTGGGAATGGGGGACAAGGTTTTATAGCCACTCCATTTCTATCTCTGAGGTAGATTTCCTTCAAACAGAATCTATTATGGTTTGTCTCTCAAAGCTCCATCTGTCTCTAATATTACTCTCTGGCTAAGTAAACCTGCTAGGAAGGGTCATCAGAAGACTTGGAACCAGGTATACTCAAGAATCATCTTTCCATAATCTCTTCTGAGGACGGTATGGCTTCCACGATAGTACAACTACCGTTAAAAATTGGCTGGATGATAATAAGTTGAAACTGAATCCATTAAGTAGTGTATGACTTAACTTATGTTTCACTGCAGTGTGCACTGTTGAAATGATGAACAGCATCCTTAGCAAAACTGAAATGTGGTTGTGCTTTTAGAAAATTGTTCTTTGTTACATAGAAATCATCTCTGTGCACCAAGAAACAGAATATTTATTATCTTATTCTGTTAAAAGTTATTGCTGTCTATTACAATCTTATTACTGGTACTGTTTTTGTACACTAAAATTGTTTTCCTCAATGCCTATGTCAAGTCATCCTTAGCTGCTCAATGAGCAGCAGCCTATAAAGACTATATAATTCACTTTATAGATAAGAACTACAGGGAAGAAATATTAAATCTACTTCGGGAAGAAGCACAAAATTTTAAATAAATAAATGCCTGCAATTGTAATTTAAAATCTAATTTTTTTGTCTAATAAATTCTAATATATTAAATCACTTTAAAAAATTTTTGATGCAGAAGAAATTCCTCACTGGGTTCTATCAGCAATGAAATGTTTAGCGAACTGTGAGTATTTTTTTTATTTCTGTATGTTGCTTTTTGAACTTGTGCTTTCTCGTTGATTTCAGTAGAGCAGAAATCCCTCGTTCTCTTCTTTTTTAATAAACCGATTTTGATTAGATGAGTCTATTTTCTGCCATAGAGTTTTTCTAATAATAATATTACACTTTCTGCAACCGAGCTGGGAGGAAATCATCTGCCACATAGTATGTCTCATTCTCATCAACCATTGCTCCAAATCTGCAGTTTATTTGAGTGGAATATTTTCTGAGGAGTGGTCTGATTATGGGATTAATACAGGCAGTCCTTGTTTTACAGCAGTTCATTTAATTATGATTCAAAGTTAAAACAGCACTGAAAAAAATGACTTATGATTTTTCACATTTACAAACGTTGCAACATCCCCATGTTCCCATGATCAAAATAAAACACTTGGCAACTGACTCATATTTATGATGGTTGCAGTGTCCTGGGGTCATTTGATCACTTTTGGCCACCTTCTGACAAGCAAAGTCAATTGGGAAGCCAGATTCCCTTAACAACTGTGTTGCTAACTTAACACCTGCAATGAATCACTTAAAAACGGGGGCAAGAAAGTCATAAAATAGGGCAAAACTCACTCAGCAAATTTCTCACTTAGCAACAGAAATCTTGGACTCCATTGTGGTCATAAGTTGAGGAATACCTGTATTCTTTTGACTGTCTCTGACCCTCAGACACTAGGGCTAGTCCTTTTCAAATTTTCATGTGTCTGTGAACATTTAAGGTTACTGAGGAAGGCAGGATGAATCATGTTGAACTTTCTAAAAGTTGCTAATACAGGGAAAGAAGAAATTTCCTTTTATATCATTCATAGATAATTATGTTAAAAGACTAAGTTAAGCTTGGTTTCTTCAGATTGAAAGTGTCAGGTGGATTGCATACTGTTTTTAAATTGGTATTGCTACTTTCCTATAAGTCAAATCAGAGTATGCTTAAGTACTCAAAGGAAAGATGATCCTTTCATTCCATGTCTTACTTAACAACACACAAAAAGGCCATTTGGATTTGGTAATAAAGAGAATGCAATGTTTTAAAGTTTTTTGGAATGGCCATATTACACATGCTGGATATATGAGAAGAAAAAATTACCGAGGAAGGTATGTTTGTAAATTGCGTTATGCTATAGTTTCAGGTAGTATAAATATATTGTTCTTAGTTGTAGTCATTCTCTACTGTTAGAAAGCCCTTTCAATTGTTCATCAGGGTTACTCTTTATGTTAAAAGATAATCCATTTTAAATCAGGGATTATCTATCTGGAGAAGCAAGGAGATGAGGATTAAGTTGAAGTTGTTTCAAACAGATAATTCCCTGGGTCTATTCTGAAATGGTTTGGCTGAGAGAAATCTGTTCTGCAAACATTTAAACCACCAATTTGTTTAGGAAGTTAAAAATTATTTTGAAATTATGGAAGTTTATGAATAGACATGTCTTTTTAGAAACACATTGGCATAAGTTCTTGTTAACGTTTAGTCACCATTTTGATTCCTATACCTATGTGACAGCATAGTGTTGTTGCTGGCTTTTCCCTGATGTGGCCCCCACCCTGTTGCTTTCTTGAAAGGTTCCAAAAATGTGGTTTTCTCAGTGGGCCTGATGACCACAAATGGTGATGGAGCCAATTATGTGGCTGATTCAATTATGTTATTGCTGCCATGGAAGTGGGGTGATTTTTATTTAATGGGTCTTTATTCTCCTGTGGATGTTTTTAAAATTATGTAGGCCACCCAGAGTCACCTATGTGTGAGCTGGGCTGCTATACTATCAATAAATAAAAATAAATAGGATTTTCATTATGACTACACGTGTAAATTAGTGCCGTTTCAGCCACCTGTGTAATCCAACCAGGAAATCTTTTTTTTTTCATTCTACTTTCCACTTTTCCATTTTTTTTAGGGCCCAGATATCCAGATCTGAAACAACCCACCTATTCAGGTTTTGAAAGAGATGTCTTTAGAACTATAGCAGATTATTATGCACACATGAAGGAGCCTCTTCTCACTTTCCAGTTCTTTGATGTTTTTGTCAGTGTGCTGGGTAAGTTATGCTGTGAAACCTGTATCTGGCAGGCTGAGTGCACAGTGCTTGTGCAACAAAACTTTATTGCTCTCCTTCAGCATCTTTCCTAATGAAAATGACTCCTTCTAGAACTTGATATTTTGAGAATAATTGTTGTTAAATGGATGAACATCTAGCAGGACACCTAAACATTCCTCCTTTTTAATTTGAACCTTCGGGATCCAGATTTCAGACATTACAAGCTTCCTAAAGGCAGGCTTCAGCAATGCAAATAACCCCGAGGCAATTATATTCAGAGATTTCTCTGGAGTCCTGTTAGCAGAAAAACCAAACCTACTTTGAGCAGACCAGGGTAAGAGCCCATAATACGGATTACCTCATTGCAGTAACAGCAGTATAAAAACCCTACATGGGCTACGGCATGTGACTTGAGGGATCATCTGTCTCCCATAATATCTACCCAACCAATGTGATCTGGCAAAATTGGCACACTCTGGGTTTCTTTAATTAAACAATGTCATAAACTGGGACCCCAAAAGGACATCTTCACCTAGGCCTTTCCTGAGGGTACTTGAAGCCCCCCCACTTTTTTGTACCACTCCAATTTTGTCTTTGTTGTTGTTGCTGCTGCTCTTTTTGTTTTCTTGCTTTTAAATATTTTTAGTATTTGTAAGCAGCCCAGAGTCTCCGGAATTGGGTGGCAGAATTTCAGAACCATTCGTTCAAAATAATTATCTTCATACCAGAGACAGTTCAGCAATACCATAAAACATAACACCTCAAACATCTTCTTTGACTGTTCTGATTAATCCTATAATTAGCATATTTACATCCTATGGTTTTTCAGGAATTTTGTTGAATAATTTCATCACCAATGCCAGGGTGGTACTCTTTTAAGAAATAGTATCACTTTTTTCATCGGAGACAAAAAAAAAAAAGTTCTTTTGATTTCCCACTGAAGCACATTTTATTTGTATGGGTGGTAAACAATTTTATACAAGTCAGAAAGAAAATCATAAACCAAAGAAAACAAAGGCATGACTTAAAAAAGAAAAGAAAACCTAGCAAAAACTACTTTATACCAGTAACGTTCACTATTCTCTCAATTTTTCTGTTCTACCACATCCATATCCCACTTCATACATTGCCTTTATTCTTTTACACTTCATCTCTTTTCGATTGAGGACCTCAACAAAATGAAAGTTTCTTAGTCCTCTGACCTAAGACCTTTTGATCTAAGTGGTACACGCAGCATACTGACACATATTTAAGGGATCTGTGTATTGACACTAACATCATACTTATGCATATATACAAATGTTCTGCCTTCAGTTGTGCTGTTGAAGTGTGGGCAAAGCAATTGTCACAATTCCTCATCCTACCTTCCATAAAATTTTGTCCAAAATTTAACACTGAAAGATTCATGTAAGAAATGTTGGAAGCTGTTAATAAATATATTTCAATAATGGGTGGATAATTATCAGTTTGAAAAAATTACCACTATTTTCAAATGTAAATTATGTAGATGATAATTAAATACCAGACAATTTCAGAATGACAGATGAACCAGTTTTGTTGCCCTCCTTGTTTCTGTTCCAGTTGCAGAACTGTTAGCCATTCTAACTTCTGCCTAAAAATAACAGTTACCTTGGGATCTTGTTCCATGTAGAGTTTGCTTTTCTATTTTGCCATGTGCTAAATTGATCTCCCATCAGCTTTGCACCAGATTCATAAGCCAAGCCTTGGCCTAACTTGGGTTTGACTCTCTTACTACTCACAAGGCATGTTGTTTCTACTAATTACAGTGGCATTCAAAAGTTTGCAAATCTTTGAATTTTCAGTATTTCTGCATAAATACGATCTAAAATTTCATCTATGCTTCACACAAGTTCTAAAACTCAATAAAGAGAATCTAATTAAACATGTGAGTCAAAAACATACTTATTCAATGATTTATTGAAGTAAATTATCCAAAGTTACATACTTCTATGTGGCAAGTATGTGAACCTTTGCTTTCAGTCACTGTCATTACCCCATTGGGCAAAAATAACTGCAGTTAAACATTTCTAATAGTTGATCAGTCCTGCTTGGAGGAATTTTAGCCCATTCCTCCATTCTGACAGCTTCAATTCAGGAATGTTGATAGTCTTGCTTCCATGAAATACCCTCTAGAAGAAATAACTTTCTTCTGCTTTAACCATTTTTTTGATCATATGATATATGTATCTTGGATCATCGTCTTGCTCATGACCCATTTTCTCTTGATTTTCAGTTGATGGGGAGATACCCTCATATTTTCTTGCAAAATTTGTTGGTAAAATTCAGAATACATAGTTCCATCTATGATGGCAAGCTATCCTGGTCCAGAGGCAGCATAGCAGGCACAAAATTGCTACTACCACCACTGAGTTTCATAGACATCTTATTCTGGAATCCAAAAAGTTTGCTTTTTGCCAAACATGATGCTTTTCTTTCAAGCTAAAAAGTTGTAGTTTGGTTTCATTCGTCTACAAAACCTTCTACTAGCTCTCTAGCTTATCCATGTGGTGTCAAACAAACTGTAGGCAGGCAGCAATGTTCTTTTCGAAGATTTTCTTTTTGCAACCCTGCCATGTGCACCATTGCTGTTCAGTGTTGTTCTAATGGTGGTCTCATAAACAATGACATTTGCCAATGCAAGAGAAGCCTTTAGTTCCTTAGACATTACACTGGGCTTTGGGGGGGATCTCTGGAGTATTGCATGCCCTTTTGGGCTATTGTTTCGACGCTAAACTAACATGGTATGTTTTATTTTGAAGTTTTTTATTGGTGAAGCCATACACTGTGGTTTACTCAAAGAGCAAGGATTAATCAAGTCATGGTTTAGTACAGAAATAAGTCAGATCTGTAAATTCCATACAAATGCAGAGTTCCACAGGAAAGATAAGTATTTCAATTATTTCAGCGGGACAGCCATTCTATATAGATAATTTATCCAAGTAGGATAATCTAGGAATAAGCATAAAATACCATAGGTAAGTTTTTAAAATTGGAACATAACCATCCACCTTGCTAGGTACTCTCAGAACTGTTGACTTGTCTAAGTTTCCTTGTAACGAAACTCCAAATAGCTTACGTGGAGTTTAACCTCAAAGGAAAATTTGCTGAATGAACATTCCTGTTCTGTAAAAGTTTGCAACACTTGAAATTATCTAACTTAAAGTTGAAACAGCTCATTTCACTGCTGTTTTCTGGGATAGGCCTGCTCAAAATGACCAAGTTTTGTTTCCAGCTGAGAATATACAAAATAGCACTTCTAAATGCAAAATATTTTATATAAATCTTTTTCTGGTTTATGGTGTTTCATGCATATAAAATAAACTCAAATTTATAGCTGCTTTAAAGGTTTGCATGAAGAACCTCTAAATGGGTCTGGAGTTGATAATGATCATGCACAAACAACGATCGAGGACAGCTTGAACTCTCCTTTTATTTCCACACCAGTCAGCATGAATGTCCAACCCCCTCACTTATTCTGAATGTCTGTAGGAACAAGATAATCTCAGAGTCCTGGAAATCATTCTTAATCAGCATAAAATGTTGAGGACAAAATGGCTTAGATTCTCTTCCTCTTCAGGTTGTCAGAAAGTATAATCTTAATTTATTTGCAATTATTACTTTGTATTATGGTTATATTACTTAAAAATATTACTTCATAAGCGTAACAAAAACATTCCCAAGAAAAGATCAGTAGGCTTTTGGGTGATGAAAACAGCTCAGCTTGAATCTTTTAATGTTGGGTCTCAACATGCTCTTCCATTTCCTTACAGCTTGTATTTGGAATGCCAAAAGATGAATTAACAAAGTGAATGATAAAATTCTCATTTTCAAAGAAACTTAACATTGAAGTTTTTTAAAAAAAAATACTTAAGAGCCCCTTTTAAAATCATGTTTTGATTCAGGAATCTTGCAGGAAAAGAAGCTAGCTACTGAAGCCTTGCAGATTTCTTGTCTTCTTCTGCCACCAGCAAATCGGCGAAAGCTACAGTTGTTGATGACTCTGATGGCTAAGATCCAGTCAAATAAAGATCTTCCACCTCTTTCAGATACACTTGGAACAAGAGTAATGGTGTGTGTCTGACAGAAATAGAAATACATTATGAAATCACTTTGGAATTGCTCTGGGGGAGACTCTACTTAGTTACAAAATAATGACTTGTTCTAGACATAGTAGTAATCTGTGTAACATAGGGTGTGGTTTGCAATATTCTCATATCGCCTTCTGCCTGCATAACTCTTAAGTTAAATCCGCAGGCTGAATTTCCCTGCTAAAGTGAATGAAAATTGGCAGTTACAGCCTTTCCCACCTATTTCTCACCACAGTCCTAGTAATTTTTTTTGCACTGCTTGCTCTTGTGACATGCCTAGTTTTTTTTTTTTTTTAGATTTATAGCCCTGTCTTAATGGGTAACCCCAAAAACAAAACTTTGGAAAGGGAATTGAATGTAAGGGGAAATATGTTAATTTTCTTTTCTTTTTTATTTCCTTTCCTTTTGAATAGGTGTTCTATCCTTAAGTTGGTACCATCTGAATGTGTATATATGAATCAGTGGGCTACAAGAATTGATATTAATCAATGGGATAGCAGGCCTCCAGTATCCATTTCAGATCAGTTTATAAATACTTAAATCATTGGGCTGGGAAGAATCTTAAAAGTCACGTAGCCTCTGCCTCAATGCATGATCTGCAGTACAAGATGTAGTAGCAACTTCCATCACTTATGGGACAATAAATAACACATTCAATATATAATGTGAGACCTGATCTCATTGATTTCCTCTCCTCTATTTCAGATGGTTCAAACCTTTTCTCACTGCATTCTTTGCTCCAAGGATGAAGTAGACTTGGATGAACTGTTAGCAGCTAAATTAGTATCATTCATGATGGACAATTATCATGAAATCTTAAATGTTCCTTCAGTCTTAAAAACTGCAGTTGAGGAGCATATAGCACATCTCCAAAGAGTCCAGGTGAGTCTTATGGGGTTGAATTTTGTTCTCCTGTACATTTTGAAAACCCACCTAAATAAGCAGATTAAAGTTTTCTTTGAAGAATTGCAATTATCCCTCCTTTAGTTGACAGCACATTATATGAATACATGTAAATTAAGTTCTGTTTGAGTTTGGAAGTAGGAAATCAGAGAATGGTAATAGTTCTGTGTTATATTACAGTGAATGGTGATAATGGAAGTACTAGATGTTGAGGTAATTCCCTGTTAGGAGAATGAGCGCATACAGGGAGACATAGTGAGAGAAGTGTTGAATAATACACACACAGCACACACATACACTGTACAGTAAATGTAGGTTTTTACTTCTGATAAACGTTTAAGCAAAGTTCAGACACAATCCAAGTCATTCACGGTTAAATCAGTCAGTTTTCAAGTCCATGGATAATCCAATAACAAAGTCCAGTATCAAAAACAGTTCAGTAACAGACTTACATCAAATCCAAGAATAACAGTCAATTAGGAGGAACGGCAAAACTCTCCAGCAGAAGGAAACAGAGATTCACTCACACTCTCTTCTGAGACTTTCCTGAGACTAAACAACCCAGGTTTCTGGCTCCATCTTATGGCCGTTTGCGGAACCACACCCAATTACAGTTTAGCATTCTCTTAAAGACATAGTATTAAAATGTCTAGCCTAGTTTATATATTTCCAACCCAAATAACTGTTAGGTGACTTACATTCCGAACACTAGATATGAGTTCTGAGTAAATTATGCAATGTTCTGAATGACTATAAATGAATAATTGTCCTAGATGTTTGGATGAGTACACAAAGCATTCAGAAATCCAAGAAAGGTAAAGGTGACAATTTGATGAGTATCTGTTTAAGGGAAACGATTTTATTTCAGGTATGTGGTGTAGGCAATAACTCATTCATAGACACACATGGCTAAGAAATGAATACAGTTCCAAGAATGAAATTGACTGTAACGATATATTGAGATGGTTAGTAAAGGATTCAGTGGTGATGATAATTTTCTAAATGTGGATGGAACAGTCCATTTTTTTGGTAGAATCAAGAGTGGATCATGGGGGGAAATGGACATGGCAGAAAAGGAAGAGAAAGAAGAAAATTGAATTTATATCAACTTCAGGAGGAAAACATGAGTCCTATATGAGAAAGTATTAGAAGATAAAGTAATATCTCAAAGGATGAAATGGAAAATGGATCTAAGAAAAGAGAATGTAACACTGTGAAGAATAGAGTAAAAAGAAACATGTTCAGATTACCAGAGAGTTGTGCGGAGTTGTGCTAATGGGATATATATGATCTCATGAAATATGAAGTGCAATAGTGAAGTGAAGGAAGCCAGGGAATAAGAAAGTACATGCACGTATAAATAAGAGAATGATTTTTGCACAATAGAGAATGAGTGAAAAATATAGCATAAAATGTATGTTGAAAAAATTGTAGTTGCAAAGAATGTAGTCTCAAGAGGGCATGAAGCAGTAAGAACCAGAGAAAATGCACAGCAATTACAATGGAAATGTACGATTTATAAATAGGTGAAGAGATCTAAACAAAAAGCCTCAGGCTAAGTGAATAGAATTTCAACTATTTCAACCATTGATCTCCCACAATTAGTTTATTGGCCAAATACTATTGAAACAAAACAACTTTATAAATCTGAATGACAGGAGATTAAGAATCATACATATCTCCCATGGATGTGTATTCCAAAATGTGAGATTGTCACTAAGAAGCCCTGATGGTGTCTATACACTTGCATCTCACGTAGGGGGAAAATGTTCGAAGACCCTTCTCTAAATATTTGAATTGGGTGCATTTCTTGGTAAATCCTACCCCACACCACATAGGATTTTATATGTAATTATTAGCATTTGTATCTGGAAGCTACAGGGCAGTGATCTCAAGATAAGAGCAATTCCACCAGAACAGGTTTTTCTTGCTAACCAACTGGTCACCGTATTTTGCATTAATTGCAGCCCATGACTTATCTTCAAAAGCAACCAAATAAAACACATTGAAGTAGTTTAATTGTGCAATGATCAGGGCATGAGTTGTCACAAGGATTTCATAGTCCAGGTACAGTCATGACTGGTACACCCTAGTTATAAATGGGCTTTCCAAAAGGTCCCCTGGCCATGGCTTCTCTCATAACATGGAATGAGGGAATACTGGCAAGAAGAATATTTTAGAGATTTGTTATAGAGCTGTTAGGGAAGTGTTAAAGAATGCAATTAAGATGGATGCTATAAATCAGGGGTGTCAAACTCAGATCTGGACCCTGGGGCCAGCCTGGACTGGCCCACAATGTCTCTGCTAACAAAAGTGGGCTGCAGGGGACTGCAGGGTGGGACCCGTGCAGCTTGTTTTCAGCCTGGACAGCTTCCTGCAATACTCTGCTGGCCAAAAAGGATATGGGTGGCCCTGTGTCCCATTTTGGCTGGCAGGGTGCTGCAGTAGGCCAACCAGCCCAAAAGGGGGCATCCAGGAGCCACCCACAGGCCCCCGCATCGCATTTGGCCTGGCAGGGTGCTGCAGGAAGCTGGCCGTCCCATCACCACCCCGAGAGCTAGCCTGCAGAGGACAACTACAATGCTGATCCGGCCCTCCAAGTAATCCAGTTTGACATCCCTACTTTAAATGGTTAGTGTTCAAGAAAAAAAAGGTGTAAAAAGTTGCAAGAATAAATATGTAAGAACATCAGGGTAATGAGCTTATTAAATATGGCTACGAAGATGTTTCTCAGAATTCTAATTAAATACAAAAGGTGACAATAATAAAAAAAACTAGGAAGTGCTGTTGGGAAAATAGCGAATAGTACCTGGTCTCTTATGCAAAATGAATATATGTCAAAAGAAGTAAAATGTATGTTTATAAGAGTGCTACCGCCTACTTTGGTATATGAAAGTGAGAAAAGGACCATAAAAGTTGAATGCAGTCAGAATCAGGTACTTAAGAATGTGTGGGAAATAAGAAGACATAGGATCAAGAATGAGTATGGACTAAATGGAAAAGTGAAATGCACGAAGAAAGAAAGAATGGACCAAGAACATGAGAAAGGCCAACAAAGTCCTGAATGGTTGAAGTGGATGAGATTCAAGAAAAAAAGAAAGGCAAGTGTCATGTCTCCAGGGCATGTTGGAGCCGTGACACCATGCATTGTGCCATGTCAGACTATGCTATCGAGGGGGGAGGTGCTGTTAACCCCCCAAACTGGGGTTCTACTGTTCGACAGAGATAATGAGCCTTGTTGACGTCACACACTGAGCTGTTACAGCCTGCAGGCAGTTGTGGACAAAGTGATTAGGATGCTGCCTGTTGAACTAACGATCTCGAGAGAGATGGAGGGTCACTTAATAGGCGTAAATAAAATGATGGAATATGATATTTGTACAAGTATAGTAAATAGGGATAAATAATTAATGGATAAAAGCACAGTGTATAGGGTGTTACATGGTGATCGGATGTGAGGCAGTAGCGCTCACCGGATGGTGGATAGACTCATTAAGTTGTTAACTGGTGTATAAATACAGCTCTGGCTGCGAGGTGCACCAGAGCTGACTTTAATTCCTTTTGGTTACTCATTGTTGCCTGAATCCGGAGCATTGTATGGATGAATAAAGACTCATTTGATCATTACCTTGAGACCTTTGTTTCCCTTCCTGTCTGGAGTTCAGTGAAGCAGCTGAGAGCAAGAAGTTTAAAGAACAAAAATGAGTTGAATGTGAAGGAAACAAGAATAGAAAAGTGTAATAAGATATAGTGAATGGTACTGGTGCAAACTTGCTTTAGTTCTGTTTCCTTTTATTTTTATTATCTCATGCCTTAAGATATATTTGGTTTACTATTGTGCTATGCATAACGTTATTTACCTTGAAAGGGAATAGCATGATGGATAATGCTGTTGGTTTTATACTGTTGAATATGATTTTATACTGTTTTATTGTTGTAAGCCATCCAGATGTTTTAATATAGGCAACTACATGTATACATTTAATTAAGAATGTGTGGGAGGTAGGAAGAATGTGTGCAGGTATGTATGTAGGAGGTACATTACAGATTAACAACAAGAAGAGAATCAGTTAGAAAACATGATCTGATTATTAATAGTTATGAACCCCTTGACAGATTGAAATGTCTCTACAAGTATTTTGTGATCCTTCCTTCCTTCCTTCCTTTTTCTAAAAAAACTTTTTATAACTAAATGAAGATAACTATCACAATTAAAATATAAACATTCCCTCCTTTTTCAGTCAAATGCAATATATGTCCTATATGAATTTCAAAACAAAGGCTTAGCATTCAAAGCCTTTCAGTGGTCAATTTTGCTTCAAGCGATGATAGTATATATTTCACTTGCTTTCAATTCATAATGTTTATTAATCATAGAGATAAGCAAAAACAAATTCCAAATGTCTTCTTGCAATTTTGTTTTGTCTGTATGTATGTGTAAAATTCAGATAAAATATCCAGAATCAGATATAGATGCTATTTTGCCAGTGCCATCATTTTGTCATCAAATTGGCACTGATGAGTTTGAACACCAAAAAACAAATTGTCATCAAGGGCCACTGGCAAATTTGTTGGAAGAAATCACAATGAATATGGAAATGTCCATCAAAGAAAAGAAGAAAAGATTGAAACAGGTAAATGAAATTATTGAATTTTTCTTCAGTTTTCCCTTCATTTTTGCTGAAACATCTAAGTAATTCCCTTTTATTGATAAGTTTGGAAAATGATTCATATTGGGTTCTTTTATTTATATTATTTTTATTTATTTATCAAATGTATATGGTTCCCATTTCATGGAAAGTGCCTCTGGGCAACATACAACAATAACAATAAGTATAACAATATAAAATAATAATTATCCAACCATTAATTGTGACAAACATATCCAAAATAATATTTACACACTATAAAAGCAGAACCAGAATCAGAAAGGAAAATAATAGAGGAATGTTAATAACAACAGAATCACCACACACTTTGATCCATCCCTAGGGTCCTCAAATCCCCTGGCAGTCTACAAGTAGTCCTTGACTTACAACAGTTCAGTTAGTGAACATTCAAAGTTACAACAGGATTTTTTTTAAAAAATTGACGTATGACCATTTTTCATACTTACGACCATTGCAGTATCCCCATGGTCCCGTGACGCTTGGCAACTGACTCATATTTATAATGGTTGCAGCATCCCAGGGTCATGTGAACACCTTTTGCACCCTTCTGACAAGCAAAATCAATGGGGAGGCCAGATTCACTTAACAGCCATATTACTAACTTCACACTTAACTGTGGCAAGAAAGGTCATAAAATGGGGTAAAACTCACTTAGCAAATGTCTCACTTGGCAACAAAGATTTTGGACTCAATATTGGCTGTACGTTGAGGACTACCTGTACACTAGCTTTTCACCCAGTTTGAGCTGTTAGCGCAGGGCACAGTCAAGGAAGTGCTAAATATACTAATAAAATTCAAGACATGAAACCAATGCAAGCAAACAATAAGAATGAATGAAAGAGATGTGTTTTAGGTCTCCTCTAAAGGAAGAGACTGTGGATTCCAAATGTAATTCATGATCTTCTTTGCCATTAGCTTTTAGTTAAAAGGCAAGGTGCAAATTCTGCACATTTTTTAACAACAAATATGTTGACACAGTCAAGACTGAATATAACCAAGGTATGCTACTAAATCTGACCAATTGACAAATGGTTGAAGTTGGCACATCAACTATAATTGTGCAAATGCATTCCTTGTCATCATCTTGCACCTTAATCCAATGATAGCTGAGATCTGCAAGCATTCTCAGAAATGAAATTGCTCTTTCAATACAAGAGCAACCTCAAGGGAAAATGGCTAAACCACAGATTCTATATTGACCAGAAGCACCTTCATCTACTCTGAATTGAATTTCAAAATCGTTCTCCCTCAATTCAATATCGGTCCAACATTTCTTTCTTATAATGAGAGATCAAAATTCTACATTGTCTGCTTTTAGTAAACAAACTAAAACAACTTCCTTAACCCATGTTATTCCTTTTCAGTTTCAGAAATCTTATCCTGATGTATATAAGGAACGTTTTCCTACTCCTGAAAGTGAAGCAGTTCTTTTTCCAGAAAAAAGTAAACAGAAACCACTGTTGACGTGGACATTTAAAAGGCCTTTCCAGCCATTTCAAAGAACAAGAAGCTTACGCATGTAAGACTCTGAATGAGCTGAATATCTATAAAGGTCAGAATTAAACCTTTGGAGCATCTGGAATTCCACAAAGGTTCTAAAACTTGTTTAACATAGAAGAAAATCAAAGCAGAGAACACTGCTAAGCTGAGCCATTTTCACTCTTTGGGGGGAAATCCCTCGGTGCTTTTTCATTTTGTTTATTTGTTTGAGGTTAGGAAATAATGAACTGGTTCAGATGATCGTATCATAGCACATGGGAGACTAGACTGAAAGCAAAAGAGTTCTTTTGCTTACACCTGTAGTCTTATTGTGCAAGTTGCAGTTAAACCAAGAAGTCTCTGAAAATCTTTGTTTTCAGTATCATCCAAACTGAGTTGTTATTAAAATAATATCAAAAACACTGGAGGTATTGTTTTATCCTAGTGGTAGGGCAACTGTGATGGGTAAAACATGTTGCTATGGCTTGATGAGTAGATTATATTTAAAACAAATATTAGTTTAGAGGAATTCATGAACCCAGTAGCATTCCTAGAGAGACAATAAGTAGTAAATTTCTATTCCTTCTGTTGAAGTCTGAGATTACCTTGAGATCCTGAGAAGTTGTGGAGAGGCACAGAACCTGGGCTAAGTTTACAGAATGGGCTCTGTTCAACAAACTTCCCTTACAGATAGTCCTTGACATATAACTATTAAATCCAAAATTTCCATTGCTAAGCAAGACACTTATTAAGCATGCTTTGCTCCATTTTATGTTTCTTGCCAGAGTTAATTGAATCACTGCAGCTATTAAATTAGTAACATGGTTGTTAAGTGAATCTGGCTTCCTCATTGAGTTTGCTTGTCAGAAGGTCATAAAAGGTGATCACATGACCCCAGGACACTGTCATAAATAATGCCCATCGCCAAGCCTCTCAATTTTGATCACATGAACATACTGTACCTACAATTTATGTGGAATACAGTGTGTCTCGTAATAAGAGGATGTCTCAAATTAACTAACCAATCCTGCCTTAATGAGGCCTGCACAGTAATACAGATGTTTCTGAAAGCTTCTGCAGCTCTGTGCAAACCACGTTAAAACAGCAAAATGCATCGCTTGGCCACATGGCACTATTCTGGAAGCGGCAGCAATACCAAAATACAATTCGGTCGCTGGGAACATGGTGGCTGTTTCCAGAATCATGCCATGCAGCCTTGCAATGAAGCAATTCAGTCCAGCCCTCTAGAAGGCCTCGGAGTTCTTCAAAAGGTAAGTGCGGAGAAGGGTATTTGGTCTAGTAGGGTGGGAATTAGGCTTAAGGCCTGGGGAGACCGGTGTAAATTGGAAAAGGCCTGTGGCCAAGGAGCAGGAAACAGAGTATGGGACATTTCAGACAATGGGAGAGCCAGGATAAGCAGGGCCAGGCCTGTGCTAGGCCTCCAACAGCCTCCCCCAATCCTGGGGCACTCCATGCTCCACTTAACGACAGGTATGTTCGTTTAATGATTCATTGAGAGTCCTGGGGGAGTCATTAGTTGAGTTCTTCATTTAATGACCATTGCAACATGCAACTGTAATGGGCAGGTTTTATTTCAGTCATATCTCAAGGGCTATCTGTACTTCATGAGGAATCATGGATTTGCATATATAAAGTCAACCATTATGACTTAGTCACTGAGCCATACTTTGGACCAGTCATGGCCTAATCAGGTTTGTGTTACCACTCATTTCCTGCAAGACTCCTGCCCCCACCCCCACACCCTATTTTAACATTTTCTATCCCTACCTCAAAAGAAGGTAGTGATATGGACTCAGATTTGAACACTTAATCTCTCTCTTTTTCAATCAATTTCCTAGATGATCCATGTACAATCAAAGAGATTGAGATGTTTATACCTTGCCTTTCTCACGAGTCTAATAGTATTTGAGTTTACTCAACAGACTAGATAGTTAATTTTTTATTGGCCTGTGTCATGTCAGTGGCAGTGGCTAATATAATAAAAGATTTATGCCTACTAGTTCCTTTCGAAACTTAAACTAATTTTCATGTTTTTAAAGTTTTCAATATTTTCCACTATATAGTTTTCCAATTTTGGCAAAATGAACATAGATAGGTAATTAGAGACTTCAAGATTTAATTGCCACTTGCATTTTTGTTTATAAACTTAAGATGTGATTGTCTAATACAGTTCATAGGGTAACAATCACTAATGTGCCTGTTATGGGATATTTTTTATCAAATTGCACTTGTAGCAGCACTGAATTTTCAGAAGAGGACAAAATGTTTTATTTCCTTGAATGAACCTGAAACACTGGATCTTGTTTTGCTGACTAGGTAAAACTTTATACTGTTGGTCTTAACAAGCAGCAAATTGGATATGTTCTTAGATTCCCCAGTAAGAATTTCAGAAAAGAAGTTTGGAGAATGAAGCCTTTTAAGACATTACCTGTGTAATCTTTCTGACACAATACCACACTGACTTATGGGAACCAATCTGATTGTACCTAAAGGACAGAAATAAAAGCCTAATCATGTCTCACATCCTTGCAAAATGCATGTATGGTTTATTCCTACTATGTATACTTTATTCAGAGATATCATTTTATGCAACAGTTATTCAATCCTGGAGGTAAATTTTGAAGGGATATAAGAGTCTACTTGAAAATAATCTTTTGTAGGGCTTAAAGCAATTTGTCTTTGTTGAACTGAGCTAGGACAGCTTAATTGTACTCTTAATAAGATTAATATGATTACTCCTTAAGACTCCCTTTCTGTAATTTTAAAATCACTTTTCAACAGCAATTTTTGAATGATCTGTCGAGACATAGACTCATCACATGCTTCAGCTCCTGCCAACCCAGCAGTTTGAAAGCAGGCAACTGCAAGTAGATAAATGGATACCACTTCAGTGGGCAAATTAATGGGGATATCAAAGCCCCCATTCGGGTGTCCCCCATGCAATGGTGATTTTATTGGTCAATCATTTCAATTCAGAAGCACTTTGGTGCTCCCAACATGACTAGTAATATCTCCAAACCCACCTGTGTCAATCTTCTCTTGTCATCAAAGAATAATCCACAAATGGAGAAGAAATTTAAAGTCTTTTATGAAGTGAACAAACTACTGGAGTATTTCCTTAGGCAGAAGTTTAAATCTCATAACCCAAGTGGCCGTCCCACTCATTGCATCAGATTCAGAGTTTGCCAAATTCTGTTATTTACAATTGCAGGAGGTGCATTTATAAAGTTTCAGTAATGCAGAGTGAAAATTTAAAACAATGGTTCTCAAAGATATACCTTCCCGATTTTGACTTTGAATTGCTGATTTAGTTTGTAAAAAGTGCATTTAATATGCACAAAAGGAGCAGATATGTTCAAAGGCAGCTGATTCAATTTAACATTGGAGTTGTTTTGATTTGAAAAGGAGAGTCAACTCAAATTTCCTTCATAATGAATTTCAGTCACAGATTCATTGAGCTTAGCATGGTTTTAAAAACAATTACCCATGCAACCACAGGGGAAAAATTGGAAATTTGTGCCTTGCTCAACTGCATGATGTATTCCCACCACTTATTCTGCTAACTTTGCTAGAAAATATTAAGTATGGTTGCCATTTATTCAAAGGTTGCCATCTATTCAAAGGTTGCCCTACATTTTTCCTCATATTCTGAATGTGGATAGATAATGTGTAAAAGTAAGCATAATTTAAGAAAAGGTCATAACAAAAGACAAGGCACTGGATTGTCATATGAACTTCATTGTTGTATAATGATAGACAAGCTAAGTACATATGTATTGGGTGTCCTACAATCTACTGTACTCCTAAAGAATTTCCGAAAATAAAATATTGTTTTCAAGATCTTTGCTTTAAGATTTTTACTGAGTATTATCATAAGCATTACTGTGGTAAGGAAAAATGCCTTGCTAAAGCTCATTGGTATGGTTGGCTCATCTAAACAAAACATAACATGATTCAAGAAACAACATACAGTATTTGTAGGGGAAAGTTCACAGAAACGAATTCATTTAAATTCTGGATTTACTTCCAAGTAAACATTCTTATGATTTGAGTTACAAAGGAGATATAAGAATCAACTAGTTATATTTTTATAGTAGTAGTTTCACTGCTTTTAGCACAGTAGTAATTTATTGAAATTAAAAAAAAACATGTTTTTTTAGTCATTATAACTCTTTTCTGTCTCGTCCTTTAGTTCCCTCTAGTGTCCATTTGCAATCTTCATCAAGCCTCAATTCCTAACATGGTTTAATTGTGTTTCATTCATTTCCCACAAATATATTATTATTACTATTATTATTACCTTTATTGTAAGTGCACAACATGTGTATAATGAGATTGGCTGAGCCTCCCTTCGTGCCCCCCTCCCCCCAACACAACTCACAGTGAGAACATATATAGTTTTTCAAATTCTACCACAAAATTAATCAAGATTTCAAATATTTCTGGCCTCTGGTTTTTCTTACCTTAAAGGGATTTTTTTGAAACATGAACTGAAATAGTCTCTCAGAAAGGATACTGATTTCAATGAATAAACCTTTAAATAATGAGAAAAAACATTTTTTAAAAAAAGTTTACCTTTCATTAGTGTTATAGATTTGAAGGCATGGAACACAACAAGATTGAGATTATCAAAATTGGAATACAAAAGACAAAGGAAAAAAAGGTTCTGGACATGGAACAGCTCTGACAAAAAAAAAAAGGATGATGCCCCTGTATGGGATTTGCAAAATAGGCTTTGAAAATTCCTTTTAGATACCAGAGTGATGAAAGAAAAAAAATCCTGTGATGTCATAGATGATTTAGAGGTCAAGAGTGCGCAAAGCAAAATGAAGGAGTATAAAGATGAACTATTTGATCATAGATAAAATATTTGACATTTCTGGTAACTCCTATTGGACTTTGCCTAAGTAAGTTTAAAAGGATAATTTCTGGATAGAGCCAGGTTATGTTTAATAAATTCACCACAAAGAAAGGTTTTTTTTTAAAAAAAATCTGAAGAACTAGATGTAGTAGACAACTATAT